TTGTAATATTTGTCTACAGCAAGTGATTTGTGGCAAGATAGCTTCATTAATCAAAAGCGCATATACAGCTCCTTGCAGATTTAACAAAGTAACAGCTTTACATAGCACATGTTCTTTGGCACTGTGCTAAGGTGGCTGATGGTGCTCCCAGAGAACGAAAGCAACCTTAATTTTATTTTTTAGAGTTCGTTCGTATCTTAGCAGGAGCTTAGAGTTTAAGCCTCGGTAGCAGTATACATGGAAACATGTTGCTTTTCAAAACACCATCAGGCTAGTGCAGTTATCTGCAATGCTCATCACTCCTCAGTCTCCTTGCTTGTAGTAATCTTCTAAGATGATTATCTCTGGTGTCCTTAAAAATAATCTTGGTAGCCATGGTACAAAAGCTCTCCAAGTGGGCTTAATCAACTCTATGGCCTTTTTATTACCCAAGTCTCTTCTGTCCTTTGCTGGGACTGAAATAAAATGTTTGTCAGTTTTGTAGGAACACAGCAGTTTAGTTAGTTATTATGCCCTTAAACTTCTGGTTATGTAGCCAAAGCTACAGCAAGAATAAAGCATCAAAAAACATTTTCACAGTGGTGAACCTATAACCAAAGTGTAATTCATGCTAAGGTCTCATTCCCGTCTAAAGACTGCTCTACCTGAGGAAAGCTGTCTGCAAGCTGGAGGATAATAGCTGCCAGCTAATGGAATTATTGTTTCCAGTTCAATTGGCAGAATTCTGTGCCGCAATGCTGAAAGTAGAGCAGATTGGGAAATTTTAGCCAACTTGTTTTTTTTAATCAGAAAATGCAAATTCATCAAAACCAAAATCTTCTGTGGAACAACTCAGTTTAAATGTTCAGTTTCTCAGGGCCAGAATGGAATTTTGAGAGCATGATCCACCCTAGAATAGCTGCTAGCTCAGTTGTTAAGGCACTCATCCAGGAAGTGAGAGATTCTGGTTGAATTTCCTGCTCAGCTGATTCAGTGCAGGGTGGCCCTCTGGACCTAGTTATCACGTCCTTGCCCTGTGAGCCCCCCAAGCCCGCTTCCTCGCCCACCCCCCCCTCACAGTCTGAGCCGGCTGCGCGATCTGCAGCTGGTTCATTTATGAACCACGCCAAGGAAACATCTATACACACTTGTACTCCACGCATTCTATTTCCTCACCCTTGTGTCCCACCTTGATACTAAGTGGCAGGACCTTCTGCCATCTGTGGAGGGTGAGGAACCCCAGTTGGCCAGCCTGTATTCCACAGTCCACTGGGGATATCGGTTCCACGGTCCACTGGGGATATCAGCTGGCGGCTCCTTCATGGAGTGTGTACATGGCGCGGTTCACCCCTATTCCTGTGACAGTTGTCCTTTTTGTGGCATGAGGGAGACTCTGGCGCACATTATCTCAAGTGCACCAGATTGCTGCCCCTTTTCCAGCTTCTCCAGAACCTTCGCCTACGGTTTGGCTGCACTTTCCCCCTGCACCTCCTGATTTCCACGCACACCCTGTCCGTGGCCCCATGAATTCGCAAGATCTCCTCATCAACCTCCTCCTGGTGCTGGCCAGCATGGCTACCTATAAAATCAGGAGGAGGATGTTGGACGGAGAGGCACCCTGTGACTGTGAAGCTTATTTCTGTCCCTCCCTTCAATCACACATCCAGGCAGAGTTCCTCTGGGCCACGCGTGCACTGGCTCCTTAGGCGCTTTTGAGGAGTAGTGGATGCTGTCTGGAGTTCTCTGCTCAGTGTCCCCTTCAGGAGCTCTGTTTATGGCTCTGTAACGTTCACTCCCATTCCTGTTTGATCATTTGTTGTCCCCCAAATTTAGTTGAACCTGGGCTTAGTGGCTTCTCCCCTTGGGCTAGGGAAGGCGCTTTCAGTTGTGGGTGGGCACAAGTCCACACACATTCCCAGGACTTCAAGAGGTAATTTAGCACAGGGATTTGAGCCTGGATCTTCCAAATCCTAATAAATGGGCTGCTGGCTGTTTTAAGGTGGGTGACTGTCTCTCTCAATTTTTTTTTTTTTGGATGGGGGAGGAAATGCAATTTGTGCAACAAGGGTGGAGCTGATTGAATAGACAGAGAGTAGGGGGAAGGAGTAAAGCCTTTTCCCCACTGAAAAAAAATATATGACTTCTTTTGAAAGACTCTAATACCAATGGAGTGAATAACACTTGACAGGTGGTGAAAGAATTAAATGACATTTGGGAAGGAAATAACTTACTAAAGAAGCCATTTGGCAAGTTATGTCTTTCCAAATCACACTTGCCACACATGCCAACATTTTTTTCATTTAAACAATAATCCCCCAGTCTTGCAGAGGCAAGTAGGCCCTTGATTAAAAATATTGTCAAGGTTTGTCCTCTATAATAGTGTGGACTGAATGTGGGCAAGGCACCACAGAAACCCTGTCTCATTAAATGTGAAATCCCTCCAAGTTCCTGCCTGTGATGCAGAATAGTGTAGTTTCTGTTGGGCTATAATGCTTTGATCTAATTTCAGTGGTTGGGTTTTGTGTGTAGGTGCTAGGTGATGCTGGTTGGACTGTGGTAGACATAGGTCACACTGGATGATCGAGTGGTCCCTTTTTGATTTAAACTTTATCACTCTGTGATTGAGGGAACGATTCTACAATATCTTGGACATAAATAACTTGTAGGCAGTCTGGCATACACAGAGTGGTACACGATGCAGAAGATATGTGTGTCTAACACTGTAGAAAAAACTGTATATTGTGCTACTGAGAAATAGCAGCGAATTATGTAATTACAGTTTGAGCAACATTAAGGCTGTGAGTGCATCTGCAATAGTCACACCATGACTTCTGAATGGCCGAGCTTAGCATTCTCTTAAAGAAGGACAGTGCAATGTAAACCCCTCTCTCTCAATGCTGACTTCTGGCTTTGACCTCATCAGGGGGTTCATCTACTTTCCTGAGACTTCAGCCAAAGAGGCAGCATGTGCCTGTAAGGAGGGTTGGGCTGCTTGGAGTTCTTGATTGGAGTGCTTGATTTCCAGCATCCTACTTGGTCGAGGGACCTCAGTCTTTAAGGCAGGGGTGGAGGCGGGGGGCAGGGTGTTCCAGCCCTTCCCATTCCACTGAGTCCCAGCCCAGGGCCCTGTGTAGGTCAACTCCTGAGTAGGAGACCTCCCAGCAGGGAGTCTACATCCACTGCCCAGGGCTACTTCCTACCACTGTCCCTTCAGTTTGGGGTGTGGCCCCTATAGTCAAAGTCACTGTGGCGGCTTGTCTCTAGTAGTGCCCCCTCATGGATCATGAGTGGTGCCCTGCCATGGTCCCAGGTTCCTCTGGGCAGGGCAGCCATACGTTTGGCGGGGTCAGAACCCCCCCAGGGTCTCTGTGCTTTGGTCACTTGGGTTTCTCTTAGGCTGGGTGCTCCTCAGCCTCTTCCTCAGTCTCCCTTGGTTAGGGAGATGGTGCTTCTTTCTTGGTGTCTGCCTTTGCTGCCAGGACAGTGATCCTTCTCCTCAGGCAGGGAGGCAGCTAGCTCCTGCCTCTTCGCTAATCAGCCCCAAACTGAGCCAGGTTCTCTCCTTTTCTCTCTCCTCTGGGCCTGGCATTGGCTGCAGGTATAATGTGGGAGGGCTAGCTGCGCCCAAAGGCTCTCCTTAACCCTTTCCATGCTGGTGGATGGTTTCTCTGTTTCATGGCAGATGTGCTCAGAGAATACAATACATTGGTAATGTATTGTAACGTGTAACATGTTTGTCGTGGCACTATGTAGTGAAGACAGAGAAAATATGCATTTTAAATAATAACATTCTGTACATCCACACATCGGCCAGAATCCTTGTAATAATTTAGGCCTAAATTTAGGCTGAGTGTCTCCAGCAACCTTTGGATACTTTTATTCTCGAACAGAGTGTCTACATGAGGCACTATTGAGGAAAGCTTATTCTGCAATAGCTATGTTGGTCAATTTCCCTATGTAGACAAGGCCCAAGTGACTAAAATGTATGATGTTTTGTTAGATGTATTTCACTTACAAGTTTAGTCTTGTCCAGGAATTATGTTAAATCAGTAAGTAGTTGAGAGTACTGAGTCTGGAGAAACTAATTACATTAACTAAGCCGACTACTAATATTTGTTACAGGAAACTGTGCTTATCTACAGCAAAAGTGAACTATGAAAAACCCTTGAGTGTAACAAAGAGTTTAGCTTAGAAATCACATATCTTTTTCATGGTCAAGACAATTGACAGTTCTTAGAGAAAGAGCAAAAAGGAAGAAGCTTTGAACTGGCTTGCAAACTAAAGATTTTCTCATCATTTGAAACTTGTCTTAAAATAAGAGCTTACAATACTGGTGAAATTCCAGAAAAATTAAAATAATTTCAAAATGATACCTGCATATTATATTTTGCGTATAATAGGAGATAGTCTTGTGCTGGTATAAGTGGCAAAGCTTGGCTATATATACCTGGAAAAGGTAATTTTGAGCTGTTTAGGGATTGTTTGATAATTCATTTGCCCAAATTTTAAAATTCTACTTTAAAATTGTGTGGTTGAACTGACATGAGCAATTCCATAATTTCACTGGCTGATAAACTTGATTTGAGATAAATAAGGATCTATATTTAAGGATCCCATAGTTCCACATCACTAAAATCACCCACTCAGAACAGCATAGAACTAGTATAAAAGTTTGCCGTTGTACCATGGTTGTGATTAGACCCTGAATTAATGTAACTGATTTATTACGTCTTGATAAACTGTAACCTCCCCTGTTCAGGATTTCGACATTGTAAACACTATCATCTAACCATCTTTATTTTGCTTTCTTTAACTTCTCATTAGCTTTTAAAATGCTATTTTGGCTGATAAAATACATAAATTCATAGTAATTCTCCAGCCTGTACTTTATGGACAGAGCCAAAGAACAGCAAGAAACCTAATAGAAGTAACTGGTTGATTCAAATTCTTCAACCAATATGTGTGTGTTTTAATAACATCTTTCTCACAACTAATAAGGTTAAGTGAACTCCCCAGTGTGATCTGTACTTAGTGAAAAAGAGGCTTATTTAAATGACGAAGGCAAGAGGATCTCTCACAGAGTGCTGAAGGAAAATGAGCTCCACACAAGACCTTGACTATCCTCAGATCTTATTTCAATACAACAATGGGTTTTTAGTCTCAAAGGTAAGAATGACAAATAATGCTTAGAAATTATATTAAAACTAGGTAGGTAGAAATTTCCAAACTCAATTTAGATGGTTATTTTAAATCTCAAGAAAGGAACAGACTCAATACAAGGGGTCCCAATTTTAACCTCAATCTCTTAGGAGTTTGTCAAATTTTATCTTGAAATAGTCATGATGAAAGTTTGCAGAAAAAAACCTGTAAGAAATGTCACCTTCAAAGATGGGCCAACTCTGAGATAATTTATCCAGCTCCTTAAATTTTGGGGTTTTGGGTAAAAGGAACCCAGGTCTGCACCAAGTTGTATTATTATAAAGTCTTCCAAATGATGTTTTGCTAAATTAAAATCACCCAAAATCATGCCAGTCTGTTTTACTAAGAGAATATCTCCACATACCTCTAAATTTTGGGTTTTCGGATAAACAGACCACAGATCCAAATGACCCTTGGTTTTGATTTTGCAAAATCTAACTCCAGATAACACAGTTTTGCAAAAATATACTCACCTACAGTGAATTTTGCATATCTGTATTTACCTTGTGCTGCAAAAGAGAACACAGTGGCTTATTTATATTCTGGCAGATTATATCCCTTGGGGGCAAAACGGATCTAGTTTAATGACTGTCTTTCAAGAAACAGAATGGTAGTAAGGCAGAGGTGGAAACCCAGAGATTTCATTTCCCTCCTTGAAGATATTTTTACAAACCATGTGTTCCAATTAGTATTTAATATTTCCTGCTATGTCAAAAGCCAACACAGCAAAACAAGAAATACCATTCATAGGTGTGTGTGTGTGTGTGTGGTGGTGGGGAATTAAATGCCCAATGAGTCTCCTTTCCACTGTGGAGAGAATATAGGCTAGTTCAAATAATAACAGTTTTCTAAGCACCCAGAGAGGCAGTGAATGGCCAATATTTTTCAAATTCACACTCTTAAAATATATTTTTGAAAGATAATCGGAAGGTAATTTTGATTCTGCTGGATAGTGTTATGTTATCTCTTAGAAGGAGAGGGGGAACTCTGTGGAGGTTTACAAAGGATCATGGCAAGCAGGAGATTAGAACTGGCACGCTCTGGCATTTTTGTGAACGTTTTCTATGACCATAAAATATGCAATCTAGCATTATGCGTTCCATGCTAGATAGAAAGACATATATAAAAAGACATTTGTTACAATTTGGGGATAGGCTATTAGATCTATCTAAGGGCTCCAAAGCTTTTAGGATTGTTTCTGGTTTTGCTGCATGAGACTTTCATAGTTTTTTTTAACAATACGTCACATCATCAGTCTATTAATCATAGCACAGTGCCTTTAAAATGTGGTATTGTAAGGGTCTGTTCTAAACCTATAAAGGCAAAAAAAATGCATACACAATACCTGGCCTGAATATGTGATTATTTAATGGGTAGATCAGCACGGAACAGAAATGAAAGAAGCAGCGCAATTTAAGCAATGGCCTCAGTGCTAAAAGCAACTGCAGTTTAATCACAGCATTGCGATGGTTGAAAAACACTTTAGTGGTGGTTTTTACAATTCTTGTAAAATTTTCTCACTTAAGGAGCTGCTTATTGGGGGGGGATCTGCACTTTCTCTTACTCCCCTGCTCCACCCCCGTTTGCTTTCAGATTATGTTTACCGCCTGTGAGTTGGGAGTGTTTGATCTATTGCTGGAGTCAGAAGGGCCCCTGTCTTCAGATGCCATTGCTGAACGTTTGGGCACCAGCGCCAGCGGAATGGAACGGTTACTTGATGCCTGTGTGGGATTAAAGCTCCTGGGAGTCGAAATGAAAAGTGAAGGAGGTAATGTTGTCAGGAAGGGAGAAGGCTAACAATTCAATCACTGTTGGTTTTAAGGTTTCAGAGTAACAGCCGTGTTAGTCTGTCTTTGCAAAAAGAAAAGGAGTACTTATGGCACCTTAGAGACTAACCAATTTATCTGAGCATGAGCTTTCGTGAGCTACAGCTCACTTCATCGGATGCATACCGTGAAAACTGCAGTAGACATTATATACACACAGAGACCATGAAACAATACCTCCTCCCACCCCACTCTCCTGCTGGTAATAGCTTATCTAAAGTGATCATCAAGTTGGGCCATTTCTGCTGGAAATGGCCCAACTTGATGATCACTTTAGATAAGCTATTACCAGCAGGAGAGTGGGGTGGGAGGGGGTATTGTTTCATGCTCTCTGTGTGTATATAATGTCTACTGCAGTTTCCACGGTATGCATCCGATGAAGTGAGCTGTAGCTCACGAATGCTCATGCTCAAATAAATTGGTTAGTCTCTAAGGTGCCACAAGTACTCCTTTTCTTGTTGGTTTTAAGGCCTTATTAAATAGCATGTGCGAGACTGAGTTATAATATTGAACGCCAAAATGCCAGAATGAGGGAAGAGGTACAGTGTGATCTGAAAAATCTCAATGCAGCAGATTTACAAAAACTGAACTTGGTAGAAGTAAGAGAGTAAAACAGATGCATAGTCACTTTTCTACCTCTCCTAAGAACCTCTTTAACTCACTGGACCAAATTCACAAGCAATAGTAATTACCCATAAGGGAAGGGAATTTGAGACTAAGCAGCTGTAAGGGAATCTAAGAGAGTGTTGTAAGATGTGTAAATGTATATATAGTGTGGAGGTCAGAAGAAGGTATTAGTTACACGTAGACTTCTTTAAACTCTCCCGCTGACTTGGCCAATTGTCTTTATATCTTCATATTAATTATCTTTATTTCATAAAGGGCAGTCTCAGATTTCCTGATCTAAAGATATTAGGCCAGATCCTCAGCTGGTATAAATTGGTGGAGCGCCACTGAAATTGGTGGAGCTATGCCGTTTACACCACCTGAAGGTCTGTTTCTGAGAGGTGTTTCAAACAATAAATAACTCATAACACAGTCTTTGGATAATGTAAGAAATCTGCAGCTCCAAATGATCAATTTAAATTAGTGAATGACAAATGTATTCAGCATTTGCGCCAGGCCCCATGCATACAAACCTCTTCTCAATTGCTGTACTCACTTGCAACCTTTCAGAGTTGGCTGCATTAATCTCTCTCTCTCTGTCTCTCCCAGCTGTCAAGCTCTATGAAGACCCTCTCCCCAGTCCTTCCATCACAGCTAGGTGTCCTCCCCATGGGAATCAAGCAGTGCTCTCAGGATTAATATAAACCCATTGGTACACTGGGTCAGAAAGAGTATTCTTACTGTGTTTGCATAGCAGAGGGACTGCTAAATAAACATAAAAGAAGAATGGCCTTTTTACAAGTACCTTCTCTGCTCTTAGGCCATGTCTACATGGGGAAGTTATTTTGGAGTAAGGAAGGGGGAACTTGAAGTGCTATAGCCATTCCACAGTAGCTCCCCTGGTGGATGCTCTTATTCTGGAATAAGAGTTAGTTTGTTTCAGTTTAGCTTGGCTTGTTCCAGTTTAGCTTGATTCACTTCCAAAATGGATTAATCTAAATTGGAAAAGGATACTGATATTCTACAAAAATAGTGTCAGCACAGGGAGCTCTAATAAACAGCTTTTCCAGTCCATTTCAACATATGGACAAGCCCTTAGAAATTTGTGGCCAGTTCAGAAGCCACCTACACCCTTTCCATGGAAAACAGCCCAGCTGCAGAAGCCTAAATGAGGCAGCATCCACCCTGCTAATGGAAGTTCAGCTGGATGCTTCAAAGGAACTTTTCTCCTCCGTGGCAGCCACCCCCATGGAGAGCACACACAGAGACTTTCCTGGAGCTGCCCATACCTCAGTCTTCCCATCACAGACAGCTGAGGAAAAGATTTAAAGCCTAATCTGGCTCTCATTGAATTCAGTGGGAGTTTGCCTCTGTTGTAAGAGAGAGAACACATTCTATAGCAACCCATATGTCTGTCCATTAAAGACATATCGTGAGCATGGTACGAGTCCAAAGCTTTGCATCTGTGAGATGACTCCGATAATCAGCCAGCGAGAATACTGAAATTCAGTAGCAGTAGATGGCCTCAGAAGTGTCTGAGCTATTCAAGTTAGGGATAATGGGTGGTATTATGTCCTGGGGACTTAACTCTCCCCATTGGTTTCCTCACCAGGTAAAAAAAGACTGGTATGTTAGGTGTTATTGCTGAAATAAGATGCTTTTGAGTATATATACTAAAAAGCATAGTGGCAAGAGATGTCACCACAGCCGTGTGGCTTATACATTTTCCTCTTGCTCTTTCACAAAAGACGTGCTGGTAGTGATGGGGTGTGCTTATAACATTCTGGAATCCTTCACTCCAGTTCTTGCAGAATCTGACGGGTAGACATGGTATGGTATGCTATGCATGCGTGCCCCTGGGCCCTCCCCCATCTCTGGTCTATCTAGAGTGGGGAATCTCCTGCAGTTTCTTTGTTGCTTTGGTTACATTCCTACAGCTTGTTCTTGTTATAAAGATTATGCTGTAAAACAGGCTTTGCACAATGACAAGTTTGTAAATGTTAACTTACCTTCTTTTTCCTTTTAGCCTTTTACAGGAACACAGAGCTTTCCAACCTCTATCTTACAAAATCAAGTCCCAAGTCTCAGTATCATAATTTGATGTACTACTCCAAAACCATCTATTTGTGCTGGCACTACCTGACAGATGCTGTGAGGTAAGGAGATGAAATCTTTTGTCGTTTGCACAAAATTCATGTGCCAAAACCCAGTGCAGTAAAGCACTTTGCTACATTTGTGAACCTTCTCAGGAAGAGGCTTGTCTCTGGGGAAACAGTAGAAAATGAAGACATATGTAACCCACACACGTCCTGGGTGTAGTGCTCTGTCCCACATAGTGGCACTGAGATCACTTGGAGATTAATGAATCTGCTACAGTGTTAGCTAACAGCTATGTGGCTTGAGGGGCCTGCATTTAGCTCCAGAGGTCCCAGGTTCAGTCCTGCCTGCTGATGATACTCATTGACTGGTAATTGTTTCAGAAGCATGTTGAAGTGCTAAGTATCGCTATTATTACATGTTTACTAGTGCTTCAGTGGATGAATTCACTGTAGATTCAGGAAATACACTTCTATACTATGCTTCTTTGGTGTGTCCCAAGGGGAACATTTAATCATGACAACAGTTTCTGTGGAGGGAAGCCCTCAGCCAGGCAAATGATGATGAATAGTGACTGAGGGATGCTTGCAGGGATCCTAATTGGTTTTGTTGCCAAAGGCAGAAGAAAGTGAGGAAGGAAGTCAGTGTATATTGGGCCAGAATCTCAGCCGGTACAAGTCAGCACAGCTCTTTATGGAGCTATGTCAATTTACACCAGCTGAGGATCTGAGCCCTGTCTCTGGTACATCAAATAGCAGTTGTGTTTCCTTCCTCCGAGTGGTGTCCAATAACGAACATAAAATAATAACAAAGTAGAGGTTGATTTCCTTTCTGAATCTTTTGGTTGTGGATTTCAGAATGATTCAAGAAATCAAACAAAGGATAACACTTGTAATGCCACAGGTGATTCCCTTTTTCCTTAATAAGTTTAATAAAATAGTACCTTTATAAGCCAAAATTGCCACCAATGCAGCAAGGTGTTAAACCAAAAATATGCTCACAGTTTTCTAACTTTTTTTTAAGAGATGGGAAAAACCAGTATGAGCGAGCATTTGGCGTTTCATCAAAAGACCTCTTTGGGGCTCTCTACAGGTAATAATCAATTTAGTGTTGCGATGTTTTTTTCTATTTTGTATTACCATTTTGATGGTGAAATATGATGATTAGTCCTATTCACATGAAAACCCCGTCATTTCAATGGTATCCAGTGTTGAGAATATCTGTTTTTTCTAATATGCTTGTCACTTTGGTATCAAAGAAAAAAATTCTTACTTGCAACTTATCATGAAAAGCTTGTTATGTACCATAGTTGGTATACTGAAAAATTCCGTTAAATGAAAAACATCTGGGGACCCTGAGGCTTAGCATCATAACACACTGCTAGATGATAAGTGTAACAAGTTTTTCTTCTGGTAAGTTTCATTAATATGTAGGAATATGAAATAGGGTGGATTTATTTTTAATGTTTTGAATAGCTAGTAGTGTAAGTTCTTTAATAGTGGACACAGTAGTCTATTGTGCATGCTGGCTTAGAAGCAGAGTTTAATATCGTATTTGAGATAATAGTTCGTGAAAGAGTAATATGCTAGCCAACAATAAATGTGTCATAATTTACTTGTGCTACAAATAATGTTCTTTTAAATGACTAGATCAGAAGAAGAGATGATCAAATTCATGTATGGTTTAAATGCAATTTGGAGTATTTGTGGCAGAGATGTGATTGCTGCATTTGACCTTTCAGCTTTCACGGTCATTTATGATCTGGGAGGTAAGTGTCATCAGAACTTTGAACTGTCTTCTTTTGTAAGCTATGGATAAGTACTGCACTTGTTCTACGACCTGTGTGAGCAATGGAAAAACAGAACAGACTTCATGGCCAGGATCAATCACAAGGGAAGCATTTTACATTTTGAGCCAAAGTTAAAAATATGAAAATGATAAAAGCATTAGAAAGCGGAATGTTTTCCTCAGTCTAAAGAACCCCATAGATCTAAGTAGCAGCTTATTTTCCTTCTCAATGATTGGTAGGTTTTTCTTTTGCCATTGCTTAAGAAATTCTGCCAGAACAGCTTCCAGGCTATTCTTCACTTCATTCAGTGACTTTAGGTTGATGAATTGCCTACATACATCTTACCACAAAAAAGCTTTACCGTTGTCTCTGTGTTTCAGTCCTGTCAGGATTTACAGCACCACGCAATCTCCATTTCTATTTCTCCCCTGCTGTTTTGCTCTCTCAAGTTTCTAAAACACAGAAAGCAGAAATGAGTCTGGCTAATCTCTTCTGGCCATTTTCACTTCTCAACCTCTAAAGCCATTCAGTATGCCTCAGCTGTGTCTTACTCTTCCTTGCAATGGCCTTACCTATGATTTTCCGATTAATATTGATGACAATTTTCTCCTGGAGCTGTGCATACCATTAGAACAGCCTCTGCCAGTGTAGTTCCCTTATGGCGGCAAATATAGCCCTGTAATTTGGCTGTAAAAATTCTGCAGATATTTTCAGTTACACCGCAATCACTTCTGTGCTTTTCATGATGCGACTGATGTATTAAGGTCTGCTGCAGATTGTGATGATGATTGATGATGTTTTCAGTGTCATGTATTATTATTTCAAAGTTTTCTTGACCTCATTTGTTGGGTTACTTCCATGCCCATCGCCCTGATTCAGCCTCAATGGGAATTATCATTTTTATTTAAGGATAGGCCTGTGCTTAAGCACCTGGGTGAATCAAGGTCCATAAGCATGATCTGTTCTGCCCTCCGACTATTTCATTTTAAGTAGATCTGGCTGGGAAAATGAATCTCACACTGCAAAAGTTTCAAGGTTTTAGAAATAAACTGTATCCCAAACTGGGATGAAAAGCCAAAATCTCAAACATTTTTGCAGAAGAGATATTCTGCAATACTTCATTTTGGAAACACCAAAGTGTTCCTGGAGGGGGAATATTTCAAAGTTTCTCAAATGAAAGATGCTTCTTGGGAGCTCTGCTCTGGGGCAACCCCACCACAGGAGCAGTTGAAGAGCCAGGAAGCTGGGGGATCCTGGAAAACTGCTCGCCAGATGGGTTGCTGGCAAGGTAGGGCAGGCAAGCTGGAAGTAAGTTAGTTATCCTGAAGCTTAACGTATTCATAGCCATGGAATCTTTCCAAATTGTCCCACACCCCACCCATCACTTGAACTCAACTTAAAGTCCCTTTCCCCCCTCCTGCCTTCTCCCCAAGACAAATGTACTGGTTGTCTTGAGATTTCTTCTGTGCTTCTCAGACTGGAATCAGTGTTTTTATTACAAGGGATTTAAAAGTGTTTGTGGTGGCTGTTTGTATAGAATTAATATTGAAGAGCCACCATAAAATTTGGTAGGCTCAAAATTTGGACCACTTGCTTCCCTCCCACCCTTCGTTCTGTTTGCAAAGTCCTTATACAGTAAATCTTTCTGTGCCCTTTTTCGGTCTGAATCGAAACCCTAAAATAGTTGATGGGAATTGTCCCATTGACTCCACTGATCTTTGGAGCAGGCCGCTGTTGAATGCTCACTGCCCGCAGTCTTATGCAAATGACTAGCTCTGCAGGAACAAACCCATGTGCTTGTGGGATGGAGCAAAAGCAGCGAAAGCAGAGAAACCAGGTCAGTTTTCAGTTCATTGTTGTAAACAGTAAGAAAAACATGAATTTAAATATCATGGGGGAAATAACCTTGACGTATGCGGTCCTTTTAAGGTAAACTAACTCAACTCATGCTCCTCACCTGTTTCTTTTCCCTCTGGGGTTTGTTTTACAATACAGACAAAACCCATCCTGAACTTTAACTATATGGTAATGTTTTGAATGGTGAATACTGGATGTGAATTTTTCCCATTTTTAACAATTCAGTTATTTTTCTCATTGTGGCATTTTTTATATACCAAGACCTGGCTTTTGGTGTAAACCTAATGGGAGGAGGTAAGGGCTTTTGAAATCCAGCTTGTAGCGAAGTGTGCCTAGAGTTTTTCATAAAAAGAAAAGGAGTACTTGTGGCACCTTAGAGACTAACCAATTTATTTGAGCATGAGCTCTCGTGAGCTACAGCTCACTTCATCGGTTGCATACCGTGGAAACTGCAGCAGACTTTCATGCATTCCTGCAGTGACTGTACTGATTGTGACCATCCTGGGACTTAGGAGACCTGGGTTCTATCCCAGCTCTGCCCTTGGTTGGCTGGATGACCTGAAGCAAGTCATTTCCCATCTCTGGGCCTTTATTTTTCCAGCCTGTACAATGGAGATTGTGCCTCCTTTGTGAAGTGCTTTGATATTCATAGGTTAATAGCACTATAGACTCATAGACTTTATTATTTGCTATATGCCGTCCTAATGATTGAAGATGGAAGCTTTAAAACAGAAGCATGGTTCGTTGATTTTAGATAAGGGGAATATCTATTGTGGTAGGTCACTGGTATTTTAGCTTTTAGTTTCGTGTAATGCTGGTTGAAATTTTTTCAGAATATTTTCATTAAAAAATGAGGTTTCTGTTTTGTAGTATTCAAAACAGACCCAATTTCATGTGTTTAACTTCTCATGTTTGATGGAAAACACTGAAATGGTTATCTCCATTTCCTGTTTAACAAAATGCAGGTTTTCAGTGAAATAAACGCCCAGTAACTGCATTCATTTTAAAAAAAAAGTCCTAAAAAATTCCATGACAACTAAAACTTAGAAAAAGTCAATATTTCAGAACATTTTCATATTCAAAATGGTCATTTTTTGAAAGAAAAAACTCTTCCTTTGAAAGTTTCCAGCCAGCTTTAGCTGCATCTCACCATTAAAACAATACCCTTTACAGGCTGGTGGTTAGATCACAGGACTGGGAGCAGGGAAAATTGGGTCCTATCTCAGAGAAGACAAAGAGAGGCTGGGAGACCATGAACAAATCACTTACCTTTTTTGTATTTAGTGTCTCCTTCTGTAAAAATGGATACTAACGTTAACCTATCTCACAAGGCAGCATGAGTCTGAGTTCATTGCAGTCTAAGTTTCTGAGATGGAAGCTATTATAAAAATGACCAGTATTGTTATATTTGAGCATTTACCCTGTATTTCACTTTCACTATAAGGATGTGCAGGTGGTTTGGCCCAGGAATGTATTTCTTTGTACCCAAATTCTACAGTCACAATTTATGACCTACCTAAAGTAGTGCAAGTGGCAAAGGAGCGTTTTGTACCCCCAGAAGAACGTCGGATCACTTTCCATGAAGGTAAACTGGGTTCATTTTGTGTGTGCTCATCTGCAAAGAAAAATGTGATGAAGGGACCATGTTTGATGATAACAGAGTGTACTGAGCAACGTACACCCTGTGGATTGGGTTACTCACCTGGGAGAAGCTATTAGTTGCCAAGGATGCAAGTCTATACCAAGGCCTTGAACATCATCCCTATTAAACAGCAAAGTAAAAATTAAAAACCAAACTCCATGCTGTGTCCATCCTAGCCCTTCAGTGTCATGCGGTGGGGATGCGGCTTCACTGAACAATTGTGGGCAGGTCCAAAGCGTGCAAAATTGTTGAAAACAGTAGGTCATTTAGATTAGTGCAATGTGACTGGCCACAAAGGCCCATAAGGACGTCCATGCTACATTTGAAGGGATAAATGCTGTTGGGGTCCTGTTGCGATATAAATTGAGTATTGAGGCATCTTGCTTTTAGATGTCTATTTTTACTATTTAAATCAAAATAAATGGTCAGTTTTGGGGGGGTGGGGATTGGAGGAGGAGGGGAGAGATCGAGAAAGGGGACCTGGCAGTGAAGAAGGGGAAAAAGTGGAGGGGGTGGGGGAGAAATGACCTAAAAGCAAAGACAGAGAAGTGTGACAGATGGTTTATATGGGTGAAGCAGACAGGAAAGAGAGAGAGAGAGAGAGAGAAATTAAATTGGTATTCAAGTGGATGGATAAAGAGCACATCAGCAATTATCCAATACTGGGAGATTTGCCCCCTAAGTGGGCTGTGAATCTTCTTTATTTGTATTGTGGTACCACCTAGATTGGAGGAGTTTTTTTAAATTAAATTGATGTAGAAGGAGGTGAAAATTAACTTTTTTTGGTTTGTTTAGGGAACTCTCACCATACTTTCTTTTTATTGCATTGTATGTACGTTCATTTCCGTCTCTTCGGAGAAATTGTGAAGCACTAAAATGTTTCCAAAGAATCAGATATGTCTCTTAAATGTTTGGTTGCTTACATTTTTCAGGCTTCTTCCACACTTAACACAAACATACCCCCTTCACACTGCCACACAGCATTGAGTGACACTGTTAGTCACTGCTTTGCATTGGCCATGAGCATGACAAGTCAGAAGAATGTAGTTTCCCAGCAAGTCTTCTGAGTAGTTTTGGAGCTAGCTTGTACTTTTTGTAATACCAAATTTAAAATGTTTGCCTATTCAGGCCTGTTTTTTTGCATTGTTTTTCTTTTTTTTTCAGGAGATTTTTTTAAAGATCCAATTCCAGAAGCTGACCTGTACATTTTGGCTAGAATCCTGCATGACTGGGCAGATGACAAGTGTATGCAGCTACTAGCAAAAATTCACAAGGCTTCCAAGCCTGGTATGTTCTCCTCTTTGCAAAATAGAGATTTATATGCATCATTTGTTTTAGACTTTTTTTTTAAAGGGCCATTTAAATGAAAGACTAAGTAAAGAAACATACATTGAAAGCTTTTCTCATTTTAAATCAGAGATTTGTATCCAGGCCATGTGAGTAATAATGGCCAATGTGAACATTTTCACAATTGGTTTCTAGGTTTGGGCACTTCACTTTAGACATGGAAGGCCAGATAGTTAAAGTTATTTAGGTGCCTAATGATGTTGACAGGCACCTCTTCAATTTTTGAAAATTTCCAGTCTGCATTTTTAGGTGCCATAGGGCTTGATTTTCAGAGAGGCTTGGCAACCACACCTCTGGGGTACATTTCTGCCAGAGTAAATAAACGTTTCAATCCCAACTAATAGGTTCCCCTTCATTCTCTACTTTGAAGTACAGGAAATAAGTTAATTGATGCATAGAATCCCTCTTGCATCCCTCTTTCATTAAATACTGTAGCAATATAATGTGATTTTTCTTTTTGTATAAGGGGGATTACTAAGGTTATGGAAATACCTAAAAATGCAGTTGGAAAATAAGCTTTAGTATCCTCCTCTGACAAATCAATGTGTTTGTTTTTAAATCTCTTCATCCCACCAGGGGGCGGAGTGCTGCTGGTTGAAACACTTTTGAATGAAGACAAAACTGGGCCTATAGAAACCCAGCTTTACTCTATGAACATGTTGGTTCAGGCTGAAGGAAAAGAACGAACGCCATCCGAGTACAGCAAGCTCCTCACTGCAGCTGGTTTCAGAGAGATTCAAGTCAAGAAAACAGGAAAGCTCTATGATGCCATTTTAGGAAGAAAATAATTCTGTCTCTTCTGTCTTGTCTATTGTTAGATGTATGAATGCAGTGGAATGATCAGCTTTTACTAGACTGCAGCAATGAATCCAGCTCATAGTTAACCTTGTCACTTTCTCTGTACAACAATACACTGTTAGAACTTTCATTCATTATGTATGTTGAGCCTACAGGGATTGACGGTCTGCCAGCTTGAATGTGACTCCTGTTTGGCTCTGGACTCTCTAACTGTGGGAATAAAGTAATTAACACACATTTAACAAGAAATAGCATGTGAAAGCAACAATATGGAAAGCTTATACTACTTGCATTATACATTTTTTCAATTCTGTCAGACTTTGTACTTTCCCCATTTTTTGCATATTTAACATAATGTCTGACCCATCTGGGTTTGTACTCAGCTTTCTTTCTGCAAATATAAACTGTACATCACTGTACTGAATACTGTTGGATGCACTGAGATTCTATGAAAATGTATACAGTGTAAAGGGAGTGAACTCTTTCTTGTCAGGATTTGCCATCTTTCAGTTTCTTCAGATGTTTAATTCAGTCTCACATTACAACAACAAGAGGACCGTCAGTATAATGAAAAGTATCACATTCAAAACTAATCAAATGAAGTGTTTCCCCCCCACTCTGTCTGTGGCACTCATGCTACAGGATACCACTGAGTCCAGGAGCTTAGCTGGATCCAGAAAAGGAGTAAACTTTTATATAGATAAGAGTATTGTAATACTCATTTATACAAAGCAATTTCTAGAACACTTAAAGTAGCTACTCTAGCACAGTGATGAGCTGCCAAAATCTTAACAACTGGTTCCCTATAAAAAGTTCTGATTTAAGCGATGTGCCAAGAGGTGGAGGAGGCGGGGGTGTAGTGGCAGGGAAGAGATTGCACAGAGGCAAAAGGGGCTTGTTGCAGGGGATGCAGTGGCAGGGAGGGAGTGGCACAAGGGAGAAGTGGTCAGCAGGGGGTTGTTGCAAGGGGCTGGCAGGCAGGGGTGTGTATGTGCCTGGGGTTGTTGCAGGGGGGGTGAAGATGGCAGGGAGGGGTGAGCTGGGGGGTCCCGAGGTTGATGCAGGGGTGAAGGTGACCGTGGCTGGCTGCTGGGGGAGCGGGGGAAGGGGCTGGGTGGAGGCTGCCCAGAGGCAAAAGTGGTGGGACAGGGTGGGTTGTTGGTACAGGGATTGCACAGGATTGAAGGAGCTGGTTGGTGGGTGTTGGAGGGGGTAGCACTGGCTGGGGGAGGGGTGCCCGGGTTGCTCCCACATACACCATTCCCCAGGCCAGGGACTGGACCTGCCCACCCCCTGGTGCTCAGCAGATCCGTGCGGTTCCCCGCAGCCTGGCTAGGTACCTTGTAGGCAGAGTAGACACCCAGCTTCTCCGCCCAAAGAGCAGAGCGCAGCTGCGCCTTCTTCCCTGCGCCGCGGGCCCAAGCTGGGCTCCCCGCTGCCCCCGGGGCTCTCAGCGGCGGTGCAGGCAGACAGCCCCCCTGCGCCCAAGCCAGGCTCCCTGCCACCCCTGGGGCTCTTGGCGGCGGGCTGCTACCGAGATTCCCAGGGGCGGCGGGGAGCTTGGCTCGGCCCATGGCATGGGGAAGAAGGCACAGCTGCTACTGCTAGACCCTCCCCTTCCCTGCTCCACCGCCAGCTGCTCCCCCAGGGGGAGGGACTGGCCACGCCGCAGGCGTCCCCTCTGGAGCCGGTGAGCAATGGCAGCCTTGTGCTCCACTGTTTTAAAAATATGGGGGCGGGCACCGCTTTTTGGCGATCCCCAACCACTTGGTGCCCTAGGTAGCCGCCTAGTCCACCTAGTGGTTGCACCGGCCCTGCTTGACAGAACCCCGGAACTCCCACGCCTACCCAACCCGTTCCCCGTCCCCTGCCCGCCCCCCCAGAACCTCCGACCCCTCCAACCGCTCCCTGCCCCTTATCCAACCCCTCCTCCCAGCCCCGGCCCAGCCCCCTTACCATGCTGCTCAGGGCAGCGTGTATGGATGCCACGCGGCCCACTGGAGCTCGCAGCCCCACCCCCTGACCATGCTGCTCAAAGCGGCAGGTGCTGCAGAGCTGCCGAGGAGCGGTCCAGAGCACTGGTGCCAGGGGCGTGGCACGCTGAGGCTCTGGGAAAGGGGGGGAAGACGGGGGAGGGGCCGGGGGAGCCTCCCCGGCCGGGAGCTCAGGGAGCCGTAACAATTTTTAACAACCGGTTCTAAAACTGGTTCAAAATTTAACAACCGGTTCGCGCGAACCAGTGCAAACCAGCTCCAGCTCACCACTGGACTCTAGCACATACAGGCAGGACTTGACTGCCTACTAATACCCCCAGACCAGACACAACACATAACAATATACAAGACTACAGCTTCACACTAAAACAGAAATGCAGCACTGTATGTTGGTGGAGGTGCTGTCTGCACCGATCATTACGCTAACCAAAGTTGCTGTAGTAAGCATAATTTAAAAAACGGGAGTTTTGGAAGGAATAAAAGCTCTTATTCCAGCTGAGTATCAACTGATTGTTAGAGGACTTTCCCTTCAACCTCCCACTTCCCTGGTTCTTGTTGCGCGCAGACAGCAAATCTGAAGTGTAGGCAAAGTGATGTTTATTGGGGTTAGTTCCAAGCAAGCATGTCCATAGCTCTACACGCCGGCAGAGTCTGTTTTCCAGTGTTCTGTTCCCAGCCCTGATGCCGCAGAGCATTTACCCCACGTTCCCCTTCCCAGCTCTGACCCTTGCCTGTGTCCCCATTCCCATCTCCTCCTTCTTAGCAGGCCCAAATATACCTGCAATGCACGCCCACAGTCCCACCCCTTACAATTTTTGGTCATGTTCCATTTTGAGTCTGGGGGTCTTCATCCCACACCTTTTGTACACCATGGGAGGGGTAAGGAATGAGGTTGTGCTTGGGTCGGCAGTTCTTTGGGCTTTTAGTGTTTTATATCGCTCCCTCCCCACACCCAAGCCCCTTTGCCCCTCCCACCTGGTTGCTTGATTTTGCCTTGAGATAGGGGTTGAGGCAATCTTAAAATATGCTCTGAGTAACACTTTAACTGCTCTTATCTGTTCCCATTGTACTAACAAATCCAGCTGACTAGGCAGAAGCAACATCACAGTGTCTTTGTCCTTTGTTTACACATATTAGTATAAGGGTATCAAAAAGTCAAACCCCAAATTCTATCCCAGGCTAACAAACAGACCTATATACTAACACTGATCACTGAGTATTGGGAGTTAGGAGGATAATTTTTCTGGAAGCAAGTCACCCCTCAGACACCTTGACCTGGGCTGAATTCACCTTTTGAGGTGAGGTAAGCAGAGTGGGGTTGGGATCAATGTTCCCTCTAATTTTGGACAGGCCGTGTGAGCAAAAAAATTTCTTCTGTGCAAATTGTTGTGCGTGCGGTGTTTCGCCGTGTGTGTGGGGTTTAGGATCTGTGGGCGCCCATGCACACGCGCACAGCTTTGAGGGAACAATGGTTGGGATTCAGTCTCATGTGTGACACTTTAGCTTGCCTCCCCAGATGAAGGGGATGAGTACAGAAGTCATGTGTTGGAGACCATGTGACTAAGAACCAGGCCTTCTGGGAGATATAAGGGCAGCCTGGGATTAATCAAGAGAGAGACTTCAGGGAAAGCAGATGTGGGTCCAACTGCTTCATTAAAGAGTAATACCTAGCCAGGAAAGGGCTAATAAGGAGGAGGTATAGGTTGGTTGCATATGAAGAGGCCCCAAGAAGAAAATTCAGGGTAGTTTGAGTTATGGGGCAATCAGCCCTATTGTTTCGTATCCCCTAGCTGGACCCATAGTAGAAGGTGGGTGCAAGTTGTCCCTCTATCTCCTTCCTTCCATGTTGCTACCATGTGAGGTGGTATAATCCCCCTTATTAAGAAAAGGAAGAAGGGATTGATAAGATCCCAGCAGGGGAAGCTGAGCTAATGAAAGGAACTTTTTATGACTGAGAGAAAGATTCTACAGTATCTTGGACGTAACTAACTCGAATGGACTCTGGTATACACAGAGTGGTACACTGTGCAGAAGATGATATGTGTATCTAACACTGTAGAAAACACTATATGACATATTGTGCTACTTGAGAAATAGCAGCTCAATATGCGATTACAGTTTGTGTTGTGCAAACACACAATGAACAGAGTTAAGGTTGTGAGTTCATCCGCAATAGTCACGCCATGACTTCTGAATGTTCAAGCATAGCATTCTTTTAAAGTAGGACAGTGCAATGTAAACCCCTCTCTCTCAGTGCTGACTTCTGCTTTTGACCTCTTCAGGAGGTTCATCTACTCTCCTTAAACTTCAGCCAAAGAGGTGGCACAAGCTTCTAAAGACAGACATGCTCAGAGAATACAATAGAAGGGTAATTGTATGTGCATGTAACCTGTGTGTAGTTGCACTATGTAGTGAAGACAGAAAATATGGCTTTACTAAATAATAACATTCTGCACATCCACACATAGGCCAGAATCCTTGTAATAATTTAGGTCTAAATTTAGGCTGTGTGTCTCCAGCAACCTTTGGATAATTGGGGTATACTTTTATTCTGGAACAGAGTGTTCATGAGGCACTATTGTGGAATAGCTTATTCTGCAATAGCTATGCCGGTTAATGTGTAGACAAGGCCCAAGTGACTAAAACGCATGATGTTTTGTTAGCTGTATTTCACTTACAAGTTTAGCCTCGTCTGGAAATTACATTAAATTTGTAAGTAGTTGAGAGTACTGAGGCTGGAGAAACTAATTACACTAAATAAGCCTACTACTGCTATTTGTTACAGGAAACTGTGCTTGCCTACAACAAAAACGAACTATGAGAAACCCTGAGTGTTTCAAAGAGTTCAGCTTAGAAATCACATAAAGCTTTTTATGGTCAAGAGAATCCACAGTTTCATAGGCAGACAGAAAAAAAAAGCAGCATATGTGAACTGGTTCATAAACCAAAGATTTCCCCATTTATTTAAATCTCTGTTTAAAGTTTACAATACCGGTGAAATTCCAGAAAAATTAAAATAGCTTCAGAATGATACCTACATATTACATTTTGGGTATAACAAGTGATAGTTTTGTGCCGTATAGGTGGCAATGCTTGGCGAAATATACCTGGAAAAGGTAATTTTGAACTGATCTGGGATTATTGGTCTGAATTTCTAAATTCTGCTTTAGACTTGTGTGGTTGAACTGACATGAGCAACTCCATAAATCCACAGGCAGATAAACTTGACTGGAGATAAATATGGATCTATATTTAATGAGCGTTAGTTCCACACTGGTGCTAAAATCACCCACTCAGAACAGCATAGAACTAGGACAGAAGTTTGCCGTTGTACCATGGTTATGATTAGACCCTGAATTAATGTAACTGATTTATTATGTCTTGATAAACTGTAACATCCCCTGTTCAGGTTTTTGACATTTTGTAAACGCTATCATCTAAACATCTTTATTTTGCTTTCTGTAACTTCTCATTAGCTTTTAAAATGCTATTTTGGCTGATAAAATACATAGTGATTCTCCGGTCTGTACTTTATAGACAGAGAGCCAAAGAACAGCGAGAAACCTAACAGAAGTAACTGGCTGATTTAAATTCTTCAACCAGTCGGTCCGCGCCACTGTGGGGCACCCCGGTCCCTCCACCTGCGCTGGCTGGTGCGCCGTTATGAGTGGACACTCAGGCCAGAGGACTGCTCTCAGGCACTTTTGCCTTCTGCCCTGGCTTACTTCTACTGTTGCTCATGACACTCAACCTAAGTTTAGGCCTAAGTTATTACAAGGATTCTGGGCTATGTATAAATGTACAGAATACTGTTATTAATTAAATATTTTCTGTGTCTTATCATAGAATATCAGGGTTGGAAGGGACCTCAGGAGGTCATCTAGTCCAACCCCCTGCTCAAAGCAGGACCAATCCCCAATTAAATCATCCCAGCCAGGGCTTTGTCAAGCCTGACGTTAAAAACTTCTAAGGAGATTCTACCACCTCCCTAGGTAATGCATTCCAGTGTTTCACCACCCTCCTAGTGAAAAAGTTTTTCCTAATATCCAACCTAAACCTCCCCCACTGCAACTTGAGACCATTACTCCTTGTCCTGTCCTCTTCTACCACTGAGAATAGTCTAGAGCCATCCTCTTTGGAACCACCTCTCAGGTAGTTGAAAGCAGCTATCAAATCCCCCCTCATTCTTCTCTTCTGCAGACTAAACAATCCCAGTTCCCTCAGCCTCTCCTCATAACTCATATGTTCCAGTCCCCTAACCATTTTTGTTGCCCTTCGCTGGACTCTCTCCAATTTCTCCACATCCTTCTTGTAGTGTGGGGCCCAAAACTGGACACAGTACTCCAGATGAGGCCTCACCAATGTCGAATAGAGGGGAACGATAACATCCCTCGATCTGCTGGCTATGCCCCTACTTATACAACCCAAAATGCCATTGGCCTTCTTGGCAACAAGGGCACACTGCTGACTCATATCCAGCTTCTCGTCCACTGTCACCCCTAGGTCCTTTTCCGCAGAACTGCTGCCGAGCCATTCGGTCCCTAGTCTGTAATGGTGCATTGGATTCTTCCATCCTAAGTGCAGGACCCTGCACTTATCCTTGTTGAACCTCATCAGATTTCTTCTGTCCAACATGTTACATACACTTACATTGCCTTTCTAGTGTGTTTTTTATAACATAGCTTTCTCACAACTAATAATAGGGGTAGTGATAAGGGAAGAGGGGGGCTTGCAGGGGATTATACCCAGTCTAAAATTTGCCTTGGCCCCCCTGTAGCCCACCCCACAGAGCAGTTCCTGCTCTGTGGCCACCAGGCTCTGCAAGCAGAGCAGACAAAGCGGCAGCTACTGTCCAGGTGCCCACCTCCAGCAGTAGCTCAGAGGTAAGTCCGGGCAGCGCGGGTGGGGGCGGGACAATGGTGGTGCCACAGAGAGGGTCAGGGTCTCATGGAGAGGGGGGCTAAGGTCCACCTTATTGAAACGGATCTTTAGTGGCCCACAGCTGGCCAGATTGTAACCGATACCAGTGAAAATTTGGATTCAATTTGCTCAATGCTCTGCAGTTTATTTGAGAAAGAATCACACAAGCCATAAGAGGTTATACAATACATAGGGCCCTCCCAAATTCATGGTCCAGTCTAGCCAATTTCACAGTCATAGGATTTTAAAAATCATATATTTCATGATTTCAGCTATTTAAATCAGAAATTTCAAGACATTTCTAATTGTAGGGGTCCTGACCCAAAAAGTAGTTGTGGGCTAAGTTCCCTCTAAGCTGCGCGGCCACATATCTGCCTATTAAGCCCACACAGGGGTTCAGGATGGTGCGGGGAGAGATGCCTCTCCCTGCCAGCCCCAGCACGGATCTGCTGCGGTAGTGAGAGGAGCCCCACCCCTACCCCCAACACAGACCTGCCCGGACTTGCCGTGGTCTGGGAGAGGAGCCCCTCCCTCAGCTCTGAGTTGCTGTGGCAAGAGAGGGCTGGAGGAGTCCTCTCTCCCCACTGCAGCCCCAGGGCAGCCTGCACCCCAAACCCCTCATTCCAGGCCCCAACCCAGAGCCTGCACCCTCCCTGCACCCTAACCCTCTGCTCTAGCCTTGAGCCCCCTCCCACACCCTAACCCCTCATCCCCAGCCCCACCGCAAAGCTCTGACCCACAGCCAGAGCCCTCACCCCTCGCACATACCCCAACCCTCTGCCCCAGCTCTCCCACTCTCCCACTCCGAAAGCCTCAGCCCCATCCCCACCACATAAATTTTGTTATGTGCACCAGTATGAAAGTGGTGTGTCACACATCACCTCCATATTGGTGCACATAACAAAATTCATTCTGCACGTGGATGTCAAAAATTAGAGGGAACACTGCTTGTGTGTGTGTGTGGGGGGCGGCCGCAAGGTTATTGTAGGGGGTGTTGCAGCATGATATGGTATTGCCACCCTTACTTCTGTGCCGCTGGCTGCAGAGCTGGGCCTTCAGTCAGCAGCTGCCACTCTCCAGCCACACAGCTCTGAAGGCAGCAACGCCCATAGGGTAAAAGCACACAAAAGATCAGATTTAATGGAGGGAGACCAGTTTTCATGGTCCGTGATACATTTTTCGTGGCCGTGAATTTGGTAGGGCCCTAACAATAGCTCGTCCTAATAAGCCTCAATTTCCCAAGCGTAAACCCTCAGTAACTATGTTGGCCTTGCACAGTATCCTGATTGGCAAACAAAGCAGGTATAGCTACAAGTCCTAGCTGGAGATTTCTTTTCTTCTCTTCTCTTTCCTTCTCAAGTACTTGGTCTTGTCAAATGTCCCCTGAAGCAGGGTTTTGGCTACCCCAAGGCTCTCTCTCTTACAGCATCACAGACCTCTTCAGATGTTAATTGTGGAACTAACTAACCAATTAACACCGCACGTATGATATTCTTAGTACTTATACCCCTTGCTCTCAAAGGAGTCACATGTCCCAGAAATATGCCTGTGGGTGTTTCATTACTGGTATTTCTAATTATATTTTAGAAGGGACTGCAAAACAGATAGAGACCAAAGATCAGTTGACGGTTGCCCTCTCATCAATCACTCATTTGAGCTCTTAATGTGGTGCCATCCAAAAGGGTCATTTTGATCCAGCTCATTATATTCCAAGCTCATTGATCACGTCTTTTGTGTTGTCTTTAGTTTTGCGAGCTGCCCAACAGCTGATATGACCAAAGTTTCAAGTTGAAACACACACACACACAGATAGAGTCTCTGATTAACCAATTTCAACACTCTCAGTAAATTTCAGTACCAACTGTCTGATGCCAAGAGAACCCTGCTCCCAGAATCCTCTCGCAAATTCAGATGTACCAAGCCATACCAAACTCATGCTCACCACAGTCATTCATATCAATCACAGTAATTCATAATAATAATTTGGCACTGTCACAACATAATGCCAACAGAACCCAGTCTTGGGGGGGTGGGATCGAAAGTGGGACCTCTAGAGCTTAGTGCACGAGCCTCTACTGCATGAGCTAAAAGCCAACTGGCTGTTAGCTAAGGCTGTAAAGCAGACTAATTTTATATCTCTCTCTACATGGTCTCCGTGCCACTGGATGGGACAGAACAATACACCTCAGCCCCAACCCCCTTGGGGAAGAGGCTAGGGAAGCCCCTGACCAATCAGATTAAGTGAACTATCCAGTGTGATCTGTATCTAGTGCAAAATTAGCTTATTTAAACAACAAAGGCAAGAGGATCTCTCACAGAGTGCTGAAGGAAAATGAGCTCCACACAAGATCTTGACTATCCTCAGGTCTTATTTCAATACAACAATGGGTTTTTAGTCTCAAAGGTAAGCATACAAATAATGCTTGGAAATTACATTAGAACTCATCATCGGGGGCGCATCTGCACTCTCTTACTCCCCTGCCCCACCCCCGTTTGCTTTCAGATTATGTTTACCGCCTGTGAGTTGGGAGTGTTTGATCTATTGCTGGAGTCAGAAGGGCCCCTGTCTTCAGATGCCATTGCTGAACGTTTGGGCACCAGCGCCAGCGGAATGGAACGGTTACTTGATGCCTGTGTGGGATTAAAGCTCCTGGGAGTCGAAATGAAAAGTGAAGGAGGTAATGTTGTCGGGAAGGGAGAAGGCTAACAATTCAATCACTGTTGGTTTTAAGGCCTCATTAAATAGCATGTGCGAGACTGAGTTATAATATTAAACGCCAAAATGCCAGAATGAGGGAAGAGGTACAGTGTGATCTGAAAAATCTCAATGCACCAGATTTACAAAAACTGAACTTGGTAGGAGTAAGAGAGTAAAACAGATGCATAGTCACTTTTCTACCTCTCCTAAGAACCTCTTTAACTCACTGGACCAAATTCACAAGCAATAGTAATTACCCATAAGGGAAGGGAATTTGAGACTAAGCAGCTGTAAGGGAATCTAAGAGAGTGTTGTAAGATGTGTAAATGTATATATATATAGCGTGAAGGCTAGAAGAAGATATTAGTTGCACTAATTTAGACTTCTTTAAGCTCTCCTGCTGACTTGGCCAATTGTCTTTATATCTTCATATTAATTATCTTTATTTCATAAAGTGCAGTTTCAGACTTCCTGAGCTAAAGACAAGAGGTCAGATCCTCAGCTGGTATAAACTGGTGGAACTCCATTGTACTTGACAGAGCTATGCCTGTTTACACTGGCTGAAGGTCTGGAACTCTGCAATGTGAAGTGTACTTTAGAAATATTTACAGATAGCTTAGAAAAAGATGTGTTCAGACAAAGTAACCCTGAATGAAAATCCTATGTATACAAAGAAACTTTTTGCTGTGCGTTCTCCGCTTTCAGCCTGAATTGTGCCCACAGTACACTATTTAGTAGGGAGAAATGAGGAGAAAAGCCCACAGAGAGCAGGAAAAGACTGTACCAGATACAATTAGGGTGACCAGACAGCAAGTGTGAAAAATTGGGACGGGGGTGGGAGATAATAGGAGCCTATATAAGAAAAAGACCCAAAAATCGGGACTGTCCCTATGAAATTGGGACATCTGGTCACCCTAGTGTCAAAGTCAGATTCAGGACTCACATAATTTGTCAGACCACTCTGTTTATTAGCAAAGCGCTTTGCTAATGCACCCAGATGTGAGCCCCTCTCTGAGGCTCAAGATAACTTATTTATACAGCTAAGCCAAAGCCAATTTAACGTAAGAGACAAAAGAAAGCAGAAACTGACAAATATACATACATATCTTACTTGCATACTAACATTTACCAATCTCCTAGCTCAGTAGGAGCTCTAAGTTAATTAGTTTGAGGACCCATTGTCTCACACTGCTTAATGTTTCTCTTCCTGACAACTATATTTCAACAAACTCTTCAAGTAGCATTTCTTTAATGAATTATAATTTCAATATAATTCATTCTACTTTCACACTAGATACAATATCTATCTACCTACAGAAGCAGCAGTAGCATGCTTTAAACAAACAAGAACATTTTTAAAAAAATTATTTGTATTAAACACAGGAAGCATACAAATGTTGTTATGAGCGGGGTTTTTGAACAATAAATAACTTGTAACATTGCCTTTGGATAATTCCAAAAATCTGCAGTTCCAAATGATCAATTTAAATTAGTGAATGACAAATGTATTCAGCGTTCGTGCCAGGCCCCGTGACACAAACCTCTTCACATTTGTTGTACTTACTTGCAACCTCTCAGATTGCTCCTCATAGATCACACACATACACACACCCTCCCAGCTATCAAGACCCTCTCTCCAGTCTTTCCAGGGGAATCAAGCAATCAAGGAATAAAGTTCTAAGGGTTAATATAAACCCATTGGTACACTGGGTCCTAAACTTTATTCTTACTGTGTTTGTTTGCATAGCAGGGGGACTGCTGTGACACACATCCATGAAGAGTGGCCTTTTTACAAATACTTTCTCTTCTCTTAGGCAACATCTATATGGGGAAGTTATTCTGGAATAAGGATGGGGGAATTTGCTGTAGCTTTTCCACAGTAGAATAAGATTTGGCTTGTTCCATTTAGCTTTATCCACTTCTAAAATGGATTAAACTAAGCTGTCAACATGGGGAGCTTTTTCCAAACAGCTATTCCAGTCCATTTCACCATGTAGACAAGCCCTTAGAAATCTGTGGCCACTTCTGAAGCCACCTACACCCTTTCCAGGGCAACCAGGCCAGCTGCAGGAACACAAATGAGGCAGCATCCACCCTGCTAATAGAAGTTCAGCTGGATGCTTCAGAGGAACTTTTCTCCTTTGTGGCAGCTGCCTGGGTGTAGAGCACACACAGAGATTCTCCTGGAGCTGCCCAGACCCTCAGTCTTGCCATCACACACAGTGGAGGAATAGATTTAAAGCCTAATCTGGCTCTCATTGAATTCAGTGGGAGTTTGCCTCTGTTGTAAGAGAGAACACATATAGCAGCCTATATGTCTGTCCATTAAAGACATATAGTAAGCATAGTTAGAACCCAAAACTTTGCATCTTTGAGATGACTCCCATAATCAGCCAATGAGAATACTGAAATTCAGTAGCGGTAGATGGCCTCAGAAGTGGGTGGAATTATGTCCTGGGGACTTAACTCTCCCGTTGGTTTCCTCACCAGGCCAAAAAAGACTAGTATGTTAGGTGTTACTATTTAAATAAAGTGTGTTTGAGCACAAACACTAAAAAGCATAGTGGAAAGAGACGCCACCACAGCCGTATGATTTATCTACTTTCACAAAGAAATGGTGGTGGTAATGGGGTTGCCTTTTCCATCCTGCAATTCTTCACTCCAGTTCTTGCAGAATCTGATGGGTAGATATGGTATGCTATGCATGCGTGCACCTGGGCCCTTCCCCATCTCTGGCCTATCTAGTTTCTTTGTTGCTTTGGTTACATTCCTACAGCTTGTTCTTGTTATAAAGATTATGCTGTAAAACAGGCGTTGCACAATGACAAGTTTGTAAATGTTAACTTACCTTCTTTTTCCTTTTAGCCTTTTACAGGAACACAGAGCTTTCCAACCTCTATCTTACAAAATCAAGTCCCAAGTCTCAGTATCATAATTTTATGTACTACTCCAAAACCATCTATTTGTGCTGGCAGTACCTGACAGATGCTGTGAGGTAAGGAGATGAAATCTTTTGTCGTTTGTACAAAATTCATGTGCCAACACCCATTGCAATAAAGTATTTTGCTACATTTGTGAACCTTCTCAGGCAGAGGCGTGTCTCTGGGGAAACAAGAAAAAATGAAGATATTGACAGGTAATTGTTTGGGAAGCATGTTGAACTATTACTACATGAGCTTATGTTTACTAGTGCTTCAGTGGATGAATTCACTGTAGATTCAGGAAACACACTTCTATACAATGCTTCTTTGGTGTGTCCCAAGGGGAACATTTAATCATGACAACAGTTTCTGTGGAGGGAAGCCCTCGGCCAGGCAAATGATGATGAATAGTTGCTGAGGGATGCTTGCAGGGATCCTAATTGGTTTTGTTGCCAAAGGCAGAAGAAAGTGAGGAAGGAAGTCAGTGTATATTGGGCCAGAATCTCAGCCGGTACAAGTCAGCACAACTCTTTATGGAGCTATGTCAGTTTACACCAGCTGAGGATCTGAGCCCTGTCTCTGGTACATCAAATAGCAGTTGTGTTTCCTTCCTCTTAGTGGTGTCCAATAATGAACATAAAATAATAACAAAGTAGAGATTGATTTCCTTTCTGAATCTTTTGGTTGTGGCACAGACCGCTTTCGGAATGATCAAGCCAGGGGTTCCCCCTCCCCTGCCCCAATTTTTTTTTGGTGGCCTCAGGATGCAGCCAACTCATGATTGTGGCCATGCTGCCCTGTGGGCCAGGAGCTCCATAGCCACCAGGGGCTGGGGAGCCCAGCTGCCCTCGTTACCCTTGTGGGCTCCACTTCCCCCAAGGATGGGGGCCAGGACCTAGGCTGCCCCAAAGGGGGTCCTACTGCCTCACCTGCTGAAGCGTTGCCCTGAGAGCCCCGCTGTCCCAGGAATGGGGGCTGAAGTCAGATAGCCTGAGGGGCAGGGGCCTGGAGCCCAGGGGACCCCACTGCCCCCAGATGGGGGATGGGAGTCTGGCTGCAGCTGCTGCCCTGGGGGCCTTGCTTCCCCATGGATGTGGGTTGGGAGCTTGGCTGCCCCAGGTGGCCCTGTGCCCTGCCTCCTGAAGTGCTGGGGCCCCTGAAGCCCTGCCATCCCGGGGCTGGAAGTACCTACTGCTGGCAGCCCTGTGGCTGCACAAAAAGTGGTTGGTGGCCGCATTTCAGAATCGCTGATCAAATCAATAACACAAAGGGTAACACTTGTACCTTAATAAGTTGAATAAAATAGGTACCTTAATAAACCAAAATTGTCACCAATGCAGTAAGGTATTAAAATACAAATACCACGTATTTATTTTTCTTTAAGAGATGGAAAAAACCAGTATGAGCGAGCATTTGGTATTTCATCAGAAGACATCTTTGGGGCTCTCTACAGGTAATAATCAATTTAGTGTTGGGAGTTTTATGCCATTCTTTTATGTGGATATCTTTTCTATTTTGTATTACCACTTTGACTGTGAAATATGATGATTAGTCCTATTCACATGAAAACCCCGTCATTTCAATGGTATCCAGTGTTGAGACTCTCTGGTATGTCTAAGGTGCTCATCACCTTGGTATCTAAACATCACGTTCTTACTGGCAACCTGTCATGAACAATGTGCTATGTACAATGTTTGGTATAATGGAAAATTCTGTTAAATGAAAAACAGCTGGAGACCCTTAGGCTTAGCATCATAACACACTGCTAGATAAGTGTAACTTTCAGTAAGTCTTATTAAAATGTAGGAATATGAAACAGGGTGGATTTATTCTTAATATTTTGAATATCTGTCAATGTAAGTTCATTTTAATAGTGGTCCAAATAGACGATTGTGCATGCTGGCCGAGAAACAGGGTTTAATACAGTATTTCAGCTAAAAGCACAAGTTATATGATGCTCGCCATCAATGAATGTGTCATAATTTACTTGTGCTACAAATAATGTTCTTTTAAATGACTAGATCAGAAGAAGAGATGATCAAATTCATGTATGGTTTAAATGCAATTTGGAGTATTTGTGGCAGAGATGTGATTGCTGCATTTGACCTTTCAGCTTTCACGGTCATTTATGATCTGGGAGGTAAGTGTCATCAGAACTTTGAACTGTTTTCTTTGGTAAGCTATGGATACATATTGCACTTGTTCTTCGACCTGTGTGAGTAAAGGAAAAACAGGACAGACTATGTAGCCAGGATCAATCACAAGGGAAGCATTTTACATTTTGAGCCAAAGTCCTATAAAAATATGAAAATGATAAAAGCATTAGAAAGCGGAATGTTTCCCTCAGTCTAAAGAATCCCATAGATCTAAGCAGCAGCTTATTTTCCTTCTCACTGGTTTGGTAGGTTTTTCTTTTGCCATTGCTTAAGAAATTCTACCAGAACAGCTTCCAGGCTATTCTTCACTACATTCAGTGCCTTCAGGTTGATGAATTGCCTATATACGTCTTACCCCAAACAGCTTTAACGTTGTCTCTGTATTTCAATCCTGTCAGGATTTATAGCACCACGCAATCTCCATTTCTACTTCTCCCCTGCTGTTTTGCTCTCTCAAGTTTCTAAAACACAGAAAGCAGAAATGAGTCTGGCTAATCTGTTCTGACCACTTTCACTTCTCAACTGCTAAAGCATGTCTTGCACCCCCAGAAAGGGCATCTCGCACCCCCAGGGGATGTGTGCATCCCAGGTTAAGAACCACTGCTCTAAAGACTTTCAGAAAGCCTCAACCAGGGCCGGCTCCAGGCACCAGCGAACCAAGCAGGTGCCTGGGGCAGCCAATGTAAAGGGGCGGCAGGACATCGGGCTCTGGGGCGTCAATCCACCCTCGGTGGCGGCGGCAATTCGGCGGCCGCACCATCACTCCACCTCCCTGTTTGGCGGGCAGGATTCCGCCTCCCCGTTCAATGGCAAGTGTTGTTTTTTTTCGCCGCTTGGGTAGCAAAAACGCTGGAGCTCGCCTCAACTGTGCATTATTTTTCCTTGCAATGGCCTTACCTATGGTTTTCTGACTAATATTGATGACAATTTTCTGCAGAAGCCATTCATAGCATTAGAACAGCCTCTGCCAATGTATTTCCTTTATGGCACCAAATATAGCCTTACAGTTTGGATGTTAAAATTCTGCAGTCACACCACAATCACTTCTGTGTTTTTCGTGAGCCAAGTGATGTATTAAAATCTGCTACATGATGATGATGGTGGTGGTGTTTTCACTATCATGTATTATTATTTTAAAGTTTTCTTGACTACATTTGTTGGATTCTTTCCATGCCCATGGCTCTGATTCAGCCTCAATGGGAATTATCATGTATTTAAGGATAGGCCTATGCTTAAGCACCTGGGTGAATCAAGGTCCATAAGCATGATCTGTTCTGCCCTCCGACTATTTCATTTTAAGTAGATCTGGCTGGGAAAATGAATCTCACACTGCAAAAGTTTCAAGGTTTTAGAAATAAACTGTATCCCAAATTGGGATGAAAAGCCAAAATCTCAAACATTTTTGCAGAAGAGAAATTCTGCAATACTTCATTTTGGAAACACCAAAGTGTTCCTGGAGGGGGAATATTTCAAAGTTTCTCAAATGAAAGATGCTTCTTGGGAGCTCTGCTCTGGGGCAACCCCACCACAGGAGCAGTTGAAGAGCCAGGGAGCTGGGGGATCCTGGAAAACTGCTCGCCAGATGGGTTGCTGGCAAGGTAGGGCAGGCAAGCTGGAAGTAAGTTAGTTATCCTGAAGCTTAACGTATTCATAGCCATGGAATCTTTCCAAATTGTCCCACACCCCACCCATCACTTGAACTCAACTTAAAGTCCCTTTCCCCCCAAGACAAATGTACTGGTTGTCTTGAGATTTCAGTCCTCTGCTTCCTAGACTGGAATCAGTGTTTTTATTACAAGGGATTTAAAAGTGTTCTTGGTGGCTGTTTGTATAGAATTAACATTGAAGAGCCACCATAAAATTTGGTAGGCTCAAAATGTGGACAACTTGCTTCCCTCCCACCCTTCTTTCTGTTTGCAAAGTCCTTATACAGAAAATCTTTCTGTGCCCTTTTTCGGTCTGAATCCAAACCCTAAAATAGTTGATGGGAATTGTCCCATTGACTCCACTGATCTTTGGAGCAGGCCGTTGTTGAATGCTCACTGCCTGCAGTCTTATGCAAATGACTAGCTCTGCAGGAACAAACCCATGTGCTTGTGGGATGGAGCAAAAGCAGCGGAAGCAGAGAAACCAGGTCAGTTTTCAGTTCATTGTTGTAAACAGTGAGAAAAAATGAATTTAAATATCATGGGGGAAAAATAACCTTGACATATGCTGTCCTTTTAATGTAAACTAACTCAACTTAAGCTCCTCACCTGTTTCTTTTCCCCTCTGGGGTTTGTTTCAAACAAAATCTAATCCTGAACAAGGTCGGTATGGTAACTTTTTGAATAGTGAATACTAGATGTGAATCTTTTCCATTTTTTACAATTCAGTTATTTTGCTCATGGCTTAGTGAGGCATTTCCTATATACCAAGACCTGGCTTTGGTGTAACCCTAATGAGAGGAGGCAAGGGCTTTGCAAAGCCAGCTTGTAGGGAAGGGTTCTAATGCATTGCAGCAGCGACGTTGCTGATTGTGACTTTGTTGGGACTCAGGAGACCTGGATCCTATCCCAGTTTTGCCCCGGCCTGCTGGATGACCTTAGGCAAGTCATTTCCCCTCTCTGGGCCTCTGTGCACTGGAGATAACAATATGTGCCTCCTTTGTAAAGTGCTTTGATATTTATAGATTAATAGCACTATAGACTCATAGACTTTAAGGCCAGTGGGGACCATCGTGATCATCTAGTTTAATAGTACTATATAAGAGGCTAAGTATTATTATTATGCTACATGACTTCCTAATGACTGAAGATGGGAACTTTAAAACAGAAGAATGGACTATCTGTTTTAGTTTCATTTAATGCTGGTGGAAAATTTTTCAGAACATTTTCACTAAAAAATTGAAGTTTCTGTTTTCCAGTGTTCAAAACAGACTCAATTTTATTTGTTTAAATTCTCATGTTTGATGGAAAACACTGAAATGGTTATCTCCATTTCCTATTTATCAAAATACAGGTTTTCAGTGAAAAATACTTCTAGTTATTTTTTTTATTTAAAAAAGTCATAAAAATTTCATGAAAACTAAAACTTAGGAAAAGTCAATATTGCACAAAAATTTCATATTCAGAATGGCCATTTCTTTGAAAGAAAACACTCTTCCTTTGAAAATTTCCAGCCAGCTGTAGTTTCATCATACTATGTTGTTTTAAAGCAATACCCTTTATGGTCCAGTGGTTAGATCACAGGAACGGGAAGCAGAAGAATTGGGTCTTATTCCAGAGAGAGGCTGGGAGACCATGAACAAATCACTTACCTTGTTTGTACTTCAGTGTCTCCTTCTGTAAAAATGGATACTAACGTTAACCTATCTCACAAGGCAGCATGAGTCTGAGTTCATTGCAGTCTAAGTTTCTGAGATGGAAGCTATTATAAAAATGACCAGTATTGTTATATTTGAGCATTTACCCTGTATTTCACTTTCACTATAAGGATGTGCAGGTGGTTTGGCCCAGGAATGTATTTCTTTGTACCCAAATTCTACAGTCACAATTTATGACCTACCTAAAGTAGTGCAAGTGGCAAAGGAGCGTTTTGTACCCCCAGAAGAACGTCGGATCACTTTCCATGAAGGTAAACTGGGTTCATTTTGTGTGTGCTCATCTGCAAAGAAAAATGTGCTGAAGGGACCATGTTTGATGATAACAGAGTGTAATGAGCAACGTACACCCTGTGGACTTGAAGAAGCTGAGCTATTAGTTGCCAAGGGTGCAAATATATTCCAAGTCCTTGAACATTATCCCTATTAAATAGCAATGTAAAAGAAAAGAAACAAACTCCATGCAGTGGCCTTCCTAGCCCTTCCTGGTGTCACCCTGGGGGGAGGAGGGATGTGGCTTCACTGAATAATTGTGGGCAGTTCAAAGCATGCTAAATAGTTGAAAATAGTAGGTTGTGTAGATTAGTGCAATGTGACTGGGCACAAAGGCCCATAAAGACATCCATGTAACATTTGAAGGGATAAATGCTGTTGGGTCATGTTACAATATACATGTGACCCACTGCCGGGTGGTTTCCTCTTTAATTAGATTCACCAACCCAGTAACAAAAGAGCTCCTGTCATACCACACTGGTTAACAAGAAGCCGAAACATGCAGTCCCCATAAGCATTCCAGCCCCTAGTTCCCAATCCAGACAAATAGGTCTTGTACAGTAAGAGGTTACTGAGTGTGACCCAATTCCCCATACTTTAAGGTTCCTCAATCTCAAAGGATGAGCCACAGATCCCAGGTCACTAAATATTTCAGATCTTACCAAAATCAAGCTGCCAGTCAATGTTTAGCACACTAACTAAGAATATATTAAAAATAAAGAAGAGAGTTCTAAAATAGGTAAAAGATGTACACATTACAAACAGTTGCTAACTCCTGAGATCAGGTCTTCAGCTTTGATGTAAGAGTCCACAGATTTGCAGAAGTCTCTCTGGCAAACTTCTAAAAGCTTGGAAGGGCCTCAGTCCCTAGTTTAAAATACTTCTTTTGTTATAAATCCACAGTGCAGAGAAATTTGGAGCAGGAATAAGGCAAGATGGAGTTCTCTCAGCTGTAATTTATACCTTGTGCCATGTGCCTGGAAATTTACTGTACCAAACCAAGCCCACTGTACCTCTACATGAAGAGTTACTGGCCAACATGGATTCTTAGGTCACATGTCCCCATCACATGGCCAGACATGTTTTGCTGAATCACAGTAGACGCCATTGGCTACTTGCTGTCTGAGTCATCCTCAGGAAGAGGCTATCTGGAAAGCTGATTCTTTCCAATAGCCCTTCCACACTTGGATAGTCCATCTAGAATGGGCTGTCAAGACTGGATGTAAACAACCTTATGGGCTTCACTCCAAGAACAAATGCATTTGAGATACAAATAGATAGCCAATATCATAACTTCACGTACAGTGATGATACATGGATTTAAACAGGATTTGTTAGCATGTATCTTTTCCATTGTTATCTTACATGACATACTTTGTACAAAGTTTGTTGCAATTGTATAATAGTGATACCAGCTATAATAAATATAGTTATCCTCAATTATATAGCATCATCCATCACACCAGTGTGGGGGTATGTTGGTTTTATGTGTCTAGTTTTACTATTTAAATAGAAATAAATTGTTAATTTTGGAGGGTGGAGGTCAGGAGAGGAGGGGAGAGAAAGAGAAAGGGGACCCAGCAGTGAAGAAGGGGAAAAAGTGGAGGGGAGAGGGGATGACCTAAAAGCAAAGACAGAGAAGTGTGACAGATGGCTTATATGGATGAAGCAGACAGGAAATGGAGAGAAAGAGGGAGAGAGAGAGAAATGAAATTGGCATACAAGTGGCTGGATAAAGAGCACATCACCAATTATCCAATACTGGGAGATTTACCCCTTAAGTGGGCTGTAAATCCTCAGCATGACAAGGCAGAAGAGTGTAGCTTCCCAGCAAGTCTCACAAACAGTTTTGGAGCAAGCTTATACTTCTTGCAACACCAGATTAAAAATGTTTGCTTATTCAGGCCTGTTTTTTGCATTGTTTTCTTTTTGTTACAGGAGATTTTTTTAAAGATCCAATTCCAGAAGCTGACCTGTACATTTTGGCTAGGACCCTGCATGACTGGGCAGAAGACAAGTGTATGCAGCTACTAGCAAAAATCCACAAGGCTTGCAAGCCTGGTATGTTTTCCTCTTTGCAAAATAGAGACTTATATGCATCATTTATTTGGGACAGGCTTTTTTTAAAGGGCCATTTTAATTAAAGACTTTCTCCTTTTACATGAGTGATTTGCATCGAGGACACATGAATAAGAATGGTCAACTTGAAAATTTGCTTCTAGTAATGTTGCCGAGTCTCCTGGATTGTCCTGGAGTCTCCAGGAATTAAAGATTAATCTTTAATTAAAGACTGACATCTGACAAAACCTCCATGAATACATCCATGCAAAATTGGCAACCCTAGCCTCTAGGTTTGGGCATACACTTTAGACAAGCAAGGCCAAATTTTAAAAGTTATTTAGGTGCCTCATGATGTTGATAGGCACCTATTCAAATTTTGAAAATTGCCAATGTGCATTTTTAGGTGCCTAAATTATTTTATTTTAAAACTCTGGCCCATGGGGCTTGACTTTCAGAGATGCCAAGCAATCACACCTCTGGTTCATTTCTGCTGGAGTCAATAAATGTTTCAATCACGGCTAATAGGTTCCCCTTCACTCTCTACTTTGAAGTGCAGGAAATAATAGCTAATTGATGCATAGAATCCCTCTAGCTATTTCATGAACTACTGTAGCAATATAACATGATTTTTCTTTTAATATAAAGGGGATCTCTAAGGTTACGGAAATACCTAAAAATGCAGTTGGAAAATAAGCTTTAGGGTCCCTCTCTGACAAATCAACATGTTTTAAATCTTTTTATCCCACTAGGGGGTGGAGTGCTGCTGGTTGAAACACTTCTGAATGAAGACAAAACTGGGCCTTTAGAAGCCCAGCTCTTCTCTCTGGTGATGTTGGTTCAGACTGAAGGAAAAGAACGAACGCCATCCGAGTATAGCAAGCTCCTCACTGCAGCTGGTTTCAGAGAGATTCAAGTCAAGAAAACAGGAAAGCTCTATGATGCCATTTTAGGAAGAAAATAACTCTGTCTCCTCTTTCTTGTCTATTGTTAGATGTATGAATGCAGGGAAGTGATCAGCTTTCACTGGACCCGCTCATAGTTAACCTTGTCACTTCTTTTTTTACAACAATACACTGTTAGAACACTCACTCCTTATGTATGTTGAGCCTACATGCAGCTTTTTTACAGTAAAGTGCAGCTCATGTTACCCCTCCCCCCCCCCGTCCCACCTACCAGACCCACCTGCAACTCCCAGGTGTTAGCAGGGAGGGGCCCTGCTTTAGCTCTGTGGGGAGAGACAGCAGCAAAAGCAGTGGCTCTCCCTTCAGCTCCCAGCTGTTCGCTGCTCCCTCTCCCATGGCTGCAGCTACCAGCATGCTGGCTCCAGCAGCTGTCATGCAGAGAGGAGCCCTGGTGACACCATGTGACTGAGTGGGGCTAGCAAACCCTGGCAAAAATCTGGGTGAGCACATGACCCCATGGTGTCCCTCCCACGGTGTCCCTCCCACGCATTGCCTCTGACTTCTGCCCAGCAGGGAGGGAGGTCTCAGGACTGCAGCCCCTCGGGGGTGTGCTTGCTGGGGCTCAGCACTTCAACGGGAGCACACCTGAAGCCCTGACCCTTGGCAAATACCTCCAGTGGGGCAGAAGCCCTGAGACCTCGCATCCCACAGGGCTGAAGCTCCAAGGCCTAGCTGGTGAACCCCGGCTCTCGAACTTCTGAAGATTGTGTTATGTGGCTCAGAGGGTCAGTAAATTTGGCCACGACTGCTACAGGGATTGACAGTCTGCTAATCTGAATGCGACTCTTGTTTGGCTCTTGACTCTAAATGGGGGACTAACGTAATTAACACATGTTTAACAAGAAATAGCATGTGAAAGCAACTGTGGAAATCTTATACTCCTTGCATTGTACATTGTTTCTATGCTGTCAGACTTTGTACTTTTCCATTCTTTGCATGTTTAACATAATGTCTGACCGGCCTGGTTTGTACTCAGCTTTCTTCCTGAAAATATAAACTGTACATCACTGTTGGATGCACTGTGATTCTATGAAAGTTTCTGCAGTGCAAAGGAAGTGAACTCTCATGTCAGGATTTGCCATCTTTCAGTTGCATTGAATGTTTCTTAATTCACTCTCAAATCACAGCAACAAGAAGACAATCAGTATAATGAAAGGTACCAAATTCAAAACTAATCACATGAGGTAATTTCCCCCACAGTGCCTGTGGGACTCATTGCTACAGGATACCACTGAGGCCAGGAGCTTAGCAGGATCCAGAAAAGGAGTCAACTTTTATATAGATAAGAGTATTGTAATACTCACTTATACAAAGAAAGGAATTTCTGGAACACTGAAAGTAACAACTCTAGTGCACACACAGGCAGGACTTGACTACCTGTTAAACCCCCCCAGATCAGAAACAACACATAAGACAACAGCTTCACACTATGATAGAGACACAGCACTGTATGTTGGTGGAGGTGCTGTGAGCACTGATTACACTATCCAAAGTTGCTGTAGTAAGCATTAACAAGGGGGAAAAAAAGGAGTTTTAGAAGGAATACAAACTCTTATTCCAGCTGAGTATCAACTGATCTCTGAGTATTGGGAGTTAGGAGGATAATTTTTCTGGAAGGAAGTCACCCCTTACACACCTTGGCCTGGGCTGAACTGAGCCTTTTGGGGTGGGGTGGAGTTGGGACTCAGCCTCGTCTGTGGCACTTTAGTCTGCCTCCCCAGATGAAGGCAATGAGTACAGAAGTGATGCGTTGGGGATCATGTGACTAAGAACCAGTCCTGCTAGGAGATATAAGGGCAGCCTGGGTTTTGTCAAGAGAAGGACTTCAGACAAAGTAGCTGTGGGCCTAAGTACTTCATTAAAGAGTAAGACCGAGCCAGGAAAGGGCTAATAAGGAGAAGGTCTAGGTTGGTTGCACATAAAGGGGCCCCAAGAAGAAAAGTCAGAGTAGTTTGGGTTATGAGGCAATCAATCCAATTGTGTAGGGTCCATTGGCTGGACTGATAGTAGAAGGTGGGTGCAAATTGTCCCTCCCTTCTCGCTACCTGTTGAGATGGTGTAATCCTCCTTATTAATAAAAGGAAGAAGGGATTAAGAGCCCAAGTGGGAAAGCTGAGTTAATGAAAGGGCTGAAGGACAAATATGACAGGTCCTGAGAAGAAGGGCCATGTCCAGAATGAGTCTGTGATAGGAAAATGGTTTTGTTTTCTTTGGAATTTAATTTAACTCCAGAAGTGGTGTAAGCTCTATGTCTTAGCTGGAGGGCTAAGTCACACAGTGATGATTGTGCCTAAGAACCCCATATCAGCCTACAAGCTTGTAAATGATAGCAAAGAGAGGAAACTGAGGCAGTAGAGTGGTACCAGCCTAGGTAAGTCTCTGCTATACACTTACTGCAGGTTTTCTTAGATCTTCCCCTGAAGTACAAAAAACCTTAATTCTGGCATTTCCTAGCTTTTTGAGTATTTGATTTGCAATCCTGCCATTTTTTTATATTGTAGTTTTTTGTATGTCATTTCAGTATAAAGTGGCGTTTTCTTGAAAGCAGGGTATTATACTACGTATCACTACATCAGGATTATAATTAAAGCTCTGTCAATGCCTGTACAGAGCTCCTGGAAGGACTTGGGCTTATTTAAGTACCTTATCTCAGGTCCCTATTAGATTGAAATACGAATACTACAAAAGCAGCTGACATACAACACTATAAAAACACATTTCAATGACATTTGCAAAAAGCACAGACCAGGCGTTCCTAAACTCTTTCACAGTGTAGGTCACTTTTTTAGCACACAGGTTGTTTTGTGACCCCCTCTCATTCAGAATCACATGCCCCATTCTCTGTCACATTTGTGATCATGTAACACTCCTATGGCTACTTTGCTTACAATGGAAAAGCATGTAATTTATTCTGAAATGTATTAAGGTGATTAAGCAGCTGGAAATAAAGTTAAATAGCACTGACTATTCTACCAGCAAACTTTCCATGGACCATACTTTGGGAGACTTTGCAATAGAGTAGGGTCCTCAGTAAGATATCTAGGTGTTGCTGGGAAGAGTCCTCATAAGATTCCACCTGCTGCTATGAGGACAGCATGTTGTATGCTGGGATAGAGAATGTCAGTATAGTTATCTCTATACAACTATGGGCTGTGTGTGTTTGAATCATAAACGTTCGATGGACTTTCCTGATTACACCTTTTAAATAATAAAATTAGATATTTTATAGTGCTCAGAGCCCCAAGTCAAGTTTTTTGTCTGCTAAGCACTTTACAAACACAGAGGTAACTATGTCCCCTCTCTTACATACACAAAAGAATAAAGATGGAAAATACATTGTAAAACATTATGGTGTTGTATATTAATTGCATGGTTTGCTAGAAATACTTCTCTTGTGAATCAATGGCTTTCTGAACTTATCAGTGTACGAATTACAAGCTCCACCCCAGCTGGGACGGTCCTTTTGGTTTTGTGACAATAAATATTTAGTCAGAAGTGATCATGCAGACTAAAGTAATGGTAGGTTTGTGCTTCCGTTTGCAGTGTGCTTTTAAATGGTGGCAAAGCAAGACCATTTCCCACTTGCATTGATTCCTCCCCCTTCCTTACCCATGAGATGCAACATTCTGCACTACTATGTTATGAGGCTTGGCAATGGCCTTGCTAGTTGCTGTTGTGTTGTGAGTAATGTGCTTTGCTCTCATTTGCATCTTCATAAACAACTAAAGATGTTGTCTTCTTCAGTAAACATGAACACAACCATGCGAAGAAAGGGAAGTTGAAGACTGGCAGAGGTGACATGATGAGCTGATTCAGAGTTTTTGTTTTTCCTCTCTGTCTTCATCCTTCATAGACAAATACGTCTCTGCTTTCTTTGCACTGCGTCCAGCTGCTATATGTAGCTCAACCAGTGCTTAATTTGTGCCAGGGCTTGCCAGGGCTGAACTCCAGCACCTCCAGGCTTGGCAGTTCATAGCTCTGGCGTTTCTGGGCTTGCTATGTCAATTATGAAAGTAGAAAAATTGCTTGAGCCCCGGGACCTCTTTTATTACAAATTAAGCACTGAGCTCAACCCATAAATTTTCTCTTCTTCTCCCTGGGAGTGTGTATTTCATGCTTCAGAGTAACAGCTGTGTTAGTCTGTATTCGCAAAAAGAAAAGGAGTACTTGTGGCACCTTAGAGACTAACCAATTTATTTGAGCATAAGCTTTCGTGAGCTACAGCTCACTTCATCGGATGCATACTGTGGAAAGTGTAGAAGATCTTTTTATATACACACAAAGCATGAAAAAATATCTCCTCCCACCCCACTCTCCTGCTGGTAATAGCTTATGTAAAGTGATTATTGTTACAGCAGGAGAGTGGGGTGGGAGGAGGTATTTTTTCATGCTTTGTGTGTATATAAAAAGATCTTCTACACTTTCCACAGTATGCATCCGATGAAGTGAGCTGTAGCTCACGAAAGCTTATGCTCAAATAAATTGGTTAGTCTCTAAGGTGCCACAAGTACTCCTTTTCTTTTTGTATTTCATGCCTCTTCCAACCCCCTGGTTTTTTCCCTTCTACCTCTCATGCTTCCTTTTCTTTGTAATAACAAAGAGGGAAGGATAAGTGGAAAAGAGAGAAATAAAGCAGGAAGAGGAAGTTCCTATGGCTAAGGGATTGTACTGAGACTCAGAAGAGTGGGGCACAGTTCCTGGCTATGCCATAGACTAGCTGGGTATGCAACTCAAAGGTGGAATAAGCCAAACAGTAGCAGTATTCTCAGCTGGCCTCCTAGCTGTGGTTACTTATACTGATCAGCTTATTTAGACCTATGGACTGCACTGAATTTCCTTTGGAAAGTTTGATTTGGGGCCACACTTTGGTGCTCATAATCATCCTCTGTTCAGAGATATTAAAAAAACAAAATTGTGACGAGTCCATTCTCCTTTTAGTTCACACTATCCCTACTACTCAGCCAGACTCACCCTGCGTAAAGATCCATGACCATTCGGTATGTAGTGCCCGGGGAATGTATTTAATAGCTCTCTCTCTTTTTCATTTAGAGGGCATCATGCTATCTGTCTCTTGGCACCTAGTTATATTTTTGTTAAGTACACAACTTATTTTGGAAAACCACGTACAGTTCTCTTGCACATCTACAACCCTGCATATTGGGAATTATCACTCGACGTGCAGGCAAGTGTAAAAGGACAGAGGTGTTACTGAGGCTGGTACAACACAGTGGAACACCAGCTAGCGCTATTGAATGAGCGAGTATTAAAATGATGAACCAGTAAAAAAGAATCAAAGTGCTGTGAACAAAAAGAAAAATGTGTCTTGGGCAGTGGGTAAAGGAGGCTGGTGGAGACTCAGCCTCCCCAAACCTCTCCTAATGCTCCCCACTACAGCCCTGGGGCTGGGCTGGACTGTGGCAGGGCTCAGAGCTCCTCTGGGTAGCGTGGGGCCAGGGCTTGGGCTCCTCTGCACTACTTCAGGTGCTGCAGTACTTCAGCTGGGGCTTGGGGCTGTTCTGGGTGCTGGTGAGCAGGCCGGAGCTTGGGGGGGTCAGAAGGGGAGGAGCGGGGTGAGGCCTTTGGCGGAAGGGGTGGGGCTGAGGGCTGGACACCCTGAACAGGGAGTGCACATGCCACCCAGGAAAATTGTAATAAAAAACACGTAAAAGCAAAGACCAGCTAATATTTCAAAATATGCAAAATATTAGGTGACTCTTTTTATAATGAATTTATCTTAGTCAATTTTTGCTGTTCCTTTCCAATTTTTTTTGTGCATGTGTTTGGATTTACTTACCTATTAAACCTATGAATTGTTTCTGTGGGTAGGAGTAATTATCTCGTTTGCCAATAGGTGTCACTATTGTTGTATTCTTGTTATACAGCTGAACTGGTCACTTTTATTTATGTATATAAAGGCTGGTGAGAACTACATAATAATGTCCTGTGATGACAGCTAAAAATATTATACGGCATTCTTTCAAATATTAATGAGGATCAAGATAAAACC